ACAGTATATGGTGGTTATCAGAGAGAAGGGGTGAGGGTTAATCAAGGGTAAAGGGGATCAAATATATGGTGACAAGAAGATTAGACTTTGGATGGTGGGCACACGATGCAATATACAGAACATGTATCATAGAAATGTACATTTGAAACCTATATAATCTTATTAACCAATGTTGACCCAATAAATGTAATTTTAAAAAAGTGCTAAGTTTATTTTACTTTGTTTAAGATAAAACATCACCTTGACAGAGTCTAAGGGGTGCCTCAAAATGAGAAAATTAAAGAAAGGCATTTACAGAGACTTAGGGCCTGGGCTGGGTGAGATTTTTAAGGCAGGTCTTGCAAGGTGGGGCACTCACTGGTTGGGAATGAGCAATTTATGATATAATAGCTTTGGAGTAGTGGGATCAGCGAAACAAGAATTTTAAAGTGAGTCCTGGTGAGCTAGCAGTTTTGATAAGTAAGCTGTTTAGTTAATTCATATTATATTTCCCAACCAACAATTAATATTCTTTTTTTTAAAATATATTTTATTGATTTTTTACAGAGAGGAAGGAAGAGAGATAGAGAGTCAGAAACATCGATGAGAGAGAAACATCGATCAGCTGCCTCTTGCACACCCCCCACTGGGGATGTGCCCGCAACCCAGGTACATGCCCTTGACCGGAATCGAACCCGGGACCCTTCAGTCCGCAGGCCGACGCTCTATCCACGGAGCCAAACTGGTTTCGGCAACAATTAATATTCTTGCTTTGTTATTTTTTAACACATGGACTGGATGGAGTACTGTTCGTTTAAATTGTATTGATTTTGCGAGAGTATAGTATTATCAGAATCCATAAGATTAAATCCTTTAAAAATATCCTTTAATGCAACTTCATTTAGATAAGTACCAATTTATGCTTGTAATCTTAAACCACCTGTGGGAATAATAGCTTACAGTTGGCATACAATATTATATTAGTTTCAGGTGTACACCCCGGTGAAACGTCCTAAGTGATCATCCTGGTAAATCTCGTACCCATCTGACCGCATACATTGACTACATTCCCTATGTACTTTACAACCCCGTGACTATTCTGGAACACCAATTTGTTCTTAATACCTTCACCTTTTTCACCTGTCCCCCCCCAAGCCCTCCTCCCATCTGGCAACCATCAAAATGTTCTCTGTGTCTGTGAGTCTGTTTTTATATCTAGGATGGGGAGGTAGAACTTCGGGGAGACTTTTGCTTTTCTACAGTTGCCCAATTTCTTAAGAGACCATGTATTATTGGAGTAAACAAAGATATTTGCATTTTTGAAAAAAAAAGTAGGTTAGATGTAAAACTATTTATCATAGTGCCTGGCACATATTATATGTTTAATAAACAATGTTATCTGGATTTAAAGCTTTTATATGACTTTATATATCTTAAAACTTTTAATATAAGTCCATGCCTACCTCTTATTACATTTATTCTCAAATATTTTGTGTTTCCGTTCTAATGTGAATGAGAGGAAAGACTTATTGTGAGAGTGAAGGCAAGGCTGGAACGGCAGGTAGGGACATGATTAGGGACCCTAGATTGATGAGAGAAAAGTTTAAGTTTCATCCAGTAAGGACTGAGGAGTCAATAAAATAATTGATCAAGAGGGTAATATAAGCATACAGAATGGGGATTGAAAGAACAAAGGACCAGGGCCGCTGAGAGCAATTATGGCAAGGCCTTGCAGTTCTAAGAATTGATATCAAAGCAGCTTAATTATCAAGCACCTGGTGTTTGAACCTTCTGGGGAAGGTTACTGAAGGTCAAAAGGATGCGGATCATCTGGTGTTTGAAACGCCATAAGGCTCACATGCATACAATAACAGGGAACACTCCCCTTGAGTCAGAAAGGAACACATATGCCCATAGGTCTGCTTTGGATATTTTCCTACCTTTTTCCCTACATGTTTGTCTTTTCTTTTGTTTCCCTTGCCTGAGGAGATACATACCAGAAAAAAACATTGCTATGAGAATGTCTACATTTTGATCCTTTTCTCTCATATTTGCGGGTTTAAAATGCCATAGATTTTAGTTGTCAACTTGTAAAGATGTTGAGAATTTGCACAGATGGGAGAGGTGAGTGACTTGCCTTAGGCCACAGTGAAGGTCCTGATCACAAGTGTCTGGGTATGAAGCAATGAGGAAACAAACGAAAATGTTTAGAAATAGGCGTAAAAAGAAGACAGAAGACTTAGGGAAAAAGTAGGACTTAATTGGTTCTTAGATTTAGGAATTGAGAGCTTGAGAGAAGAAAGTTTCTCTGAGCTTTTTCCTTTTAATTTGGGTGTCTAAGAGATTAGAAGTTTTATAAATAGTTAGAGGAGTAGTTTGGGGGGGCTCCAGTGGGAAGTTGGGAAAGATAATTAAGTTTGAGGTGTACTGAACTCAATATTGCCAAACATTAAAATGACACTGTTCCATTTGGAGTTAAAAATTCAAAACCAGAGCTCAGTTTATGATATTAGGATGTCAGGTGGACAAAAATAATTGAAAATGTAAGACCTAGAGTTCAAACCTACAGGAATGGGTGACATCACTGAGGAGGCTTATATGGGAAAATGTGAAGTTTGAGGGCAGAAATTCAGAAAATATCACTTTGAGGGGTAAGAAAGGGATAACAGTTCCCTGAACACCAGCAAAAAGGGCAGAGTTGGAGAAACCAAGAGAAGAGAAATCTGAGGACGATCACTGTCCATGATTTCAAGGGGCCTGGGATTGGCAACGAGGTTGCTATTGACTATAGAAGTTGTTTTGGTGGAGTGCTAGTAGAGATAAATTGAATTATATCTCAAAAATATGTTTTTCTTTTTGAAGGGAGGAGGGAAAGAAACACTGAGGATCGAGTTCAAAACCCTAGCATATGGCCTGACCTGGAATCGAACCAGCGACCTTTTGGTGCATGGGATGACACTTAAGCAACTGAGCCATACCAGCAGCCAGGGCACTCTAAGTATTTTAAAACAGTCAGACTTATCATGTAATTATTATAATAATTACAATAATGCCTTTCATTAGCTTCGTTGCTTAATAAACTAAGCAGGCCCTCTGTGATCTGGTTCTGCTTATTTCTCCAGTCTCATATCTTATTCCCCACTCCACTCTAACCTTAAGACTGCAGGCAGAGCTTCTTCCAGTTTTCCAGATGCCTCATGCATTTTTATGTGCTGGTGTTTGTAGCTTACACATCTTCCAATTCCATCTCAGTTTGGTGAAGCCTTTGGGGGTGCTCAAGCCTTTTGATATTAACTTCTAGTTCCCATGTGTGAATATTAATACCCTGTATTCCTGTCATCTAGCACCAGGCTGGGTATATAGTCTGTATTCCATAATTGTTAAGTGAACAAATAAATGAAGAAAGCAAGTCTTTATGTTGCACCTATTTTTCACTAAAAAAAAGTGTGCAGTATAGTATATTTGGCATTTATTCTTGCCACACAATATTCAATTTTGTGATTTTTGTTTAAGCATAAACAAGCTCTGGCCAGGGAGCTCAGCTGGTCAGAGTGTCATCCTGATATGCCAAGGTTTCGGGTTCCATCCCCAGTCAGGGCACATACGAGTATAAGAATCAACCAATGAATGCATAAATAAGTGGAATAACAAATAGATTTTCTCTCTCTCTCTCTCTCTCTCTCTCTCAAAAATCAATACAAAACATAAATAAGAAATTTTATAAAATACTAGTTAAAACTTGCAAAGTATAAAAAAGCCTTAATCTCATTAGCCTGTTGTAATTTTCCATTTAATTTCTAAATGTAAGAGTGGGCTATATTGTCCTTTCCATAAACTCTTTTTTTATTTTTTTGGAAGCAACCATTCTCTTTCTGGTAAAAATTATGAGGAAGTGGGATGGGTCTCCTTTTAAAATACAAATGACTACACTCAGACCAATGGAAGTTTCAGTACTACTAGAACCAAATCTCAATTTATATTCGCATTTACTAGTATGGCTGTTGGTTCGCCCCAGGGAGACGGGAAAGATGGTCCCCTACACCTGATTTCAGGTTGATTACAATAAACTGGGAACAATTTGAGCATAAAAGGCTCATTTTGCATTAGGCACCTTTTTTTTGGAGAGGAGGCGACGGTGGTGAAAATAAAATGCTTAATCAAACTCCCGCCAATTTGCAATGTTCTTTGGGGAAGAGGGTTTCAAAAGCCAAGGAACAAAAGAGGATTTGGTTTTCCAATTTCCCAGAGGGGGCAGCAGATTGTGAAGCAGCTACTGGGAGAAACCGAAGTATAATTATCAACCAGAGGAAGGCGGGTGTGCGTGTGTCTGTGTGTGTCTATGTGTGCTCGGAGCTGGGGGCGGGAGCAGGGGGTAGGAGAGACGTTCCACATGCTAAGGATCCAAGGTCTTTTTTTATGCGAGGTACCTCGTTATGTAATATTTATAACGAAAGGCGCTGCAACAGCACCGGCGCCCTGGCCCGCCTCCTTCTGGCCCAATTTACAACCATAAGCTGGGATACAATGGGGACGGGAGGAGGGGACACAAAGCGCGGTGCCGGCGGAGAGCGGTCTAAACTGCGGGAAACAGGCCGCTTGTGCAGCAGGCGAGCGGAGAGAATTTCCCTCTGGCTCGGGGCCGCCCTGGCTCCGAGGATCAGCGGGGAGGCCAGTTTTACCCGCAGGGTCCGGATCCGACCTGAGATGCTTATTCAGTGGGCCCTGTGGGGATGCTGAGACCGTAACCTGGGTCCCCACGCTGGGACCACCACCCTGGAGCGCGGGTCGGGGCATTTTCAAGCCGGGAGGAGGCGCGTGGGGAAGGCGCCGCTCTCCAGCAACGGCGCATGCGCGGGCCCTCCTGCCAGCGCAGCCGCGCAGCCCGCGGCCCGCGGTTCTTCCTCCAATCGGAGCCCCGCGTTCTCCGCGTGCGTCTCCCGGAGCTGCGGCCGCGGGAGGCGGGGCGAGGAGGGGGCCGGGCGGGGCGGGGCGGGCCGGAGGCGGGCGAAAGTCTGGGAAGCTCTGCGAGCGGAGTGGAGTCTCCGGAAGTGGCCGTTGTAAACACCGTCTCCAGGGGGTTTGTCCCCTCGCAGCCCACCTTTGCTATTGGTTCACCACCCCCGGGTCCTAGGCTCAGTCCGGTCCAAACAGTGTTTGCTTTGATTTGACCCCCGCGACCAGCCTGGGCCTGAGATTTGAAGCTGCCCCTGGGGTCCCTCCCGGGTGTGCGGTCTGGACCACGGGAGCCCCCGGAGGTAACCGCGGGCTGGGAGGCCTTGGAGGTGGAGGAGTTGGGCGGGAGGTGTAGGGAGGCCCGGGATGGGGGGCTGCAGGGGGTGTGGAGGGAGATCGAGGTAGTTTGGGACTGTCCCGGGGCTGTTCGCGTCCTCGGTGGGGACACGCCTTCGACCCCGGGGCTGGGCCTCCCCGCCCGCCGGGAGGAGGTGCTCCTCGGAGCATCCCAGCCCGACGCCGCTGCCGCCGTTCCCCGGAGACGGGGCAGGGACCCGAGGGCGGGACCCGGGGGCCTGGGCTTGCAGCTTCTTAGGTTTACAACTCAAGACTGCGGAGCCCAACCTCCCAAGAATCAGGAAAAGCCCTTCGAGGTCAGGGACCACGTCGTTTTCATTCTGTTTTTTTTTTTTTTTTTAATTTAATTTTATTGACTTTTTACAGAGAGGAAGGGAGAGGGCTACAGAGTTAGAAACATCGATGAGAGAGAAACATCGATCAGCTGCCTCCTGCACACCACCCCCTACTGGGGATGGGCCTGCAACCAAGATACATGCCCTTGACCGGAATCGAACCCGGGACCCTTCAATTCGCAGGCGGACGCTCTATCCACTGAGCCAAACCAGTCAGGGCCCTCGTTTTCATTCTTAAAAAAAAACACAGACATGCCAGCCACACACTGGGTTCTGTAGATGTTTGATCCATGAAAGAATGAGTTGGGCGAGGCTGTCTCCTGTAGTTTCTGCAGCTTCCCCCCAAGACTCTAAAGACTTAGGAGAACCGGCTCTTTCCCCGGGGCTGTCAACTGTCTGCAGGAATCGGGCCTCCTTTGGAGAGTTCTTTTTTCCATTATGAAAACTTTCCTAGGAGAGTACATACGTAATCCAGCTGAAGCAGATCTCAAATGATACTTGCATGGGAAGCAATTTCAGTTGGTTTCCAAATCTTTTGAATACGTTATAAGTCGATATTTTATAGTTGTATAGTCTTGGAGAAAAGAGCCCACCGTTTTGTCACTTGTTTTATGGAACAGTTAGTGCTTAGTAACAACCCAACGATGGTAGATCAGGAAACGAACGTGCTTTCCCAGGAAATAAAGAGGAAGCAAAGGCGATGCAACCCAAGAGGAAAGGTGAAGGGAATGGTTTTAGTCTGGAGTTTTCTATATTAGTCCTGGCATAGACTATTAGCTGTGACACCTCAGGCAGATCACCTGAATTCCCCAGGCAATAGATTCCTTTTTTTCTTTTTTATTGAGTTAATTGGGGTGACACTGGTTAATAAAATTATATAGGTATTAGGTGTACAAGTTTATAGTACATCATCTGTATATTATATTGCCTGTTCACCACCCTAAGTCAAGGCTCTTTACATCACCATTTATCCCCCCTCTACCCTTTCCTACCTTCCCCCACCCCTCCTTCCCTCTACTGGTCACCATACTTTTGTCTGTGTCTTTGAGGTTTTTTTTTTGGTTTGTTTTTTTCCTTAATCCCTTCACCTTTTTCACCTAGCCCCGAAAAACCCTTCCTGGAATAGATTCCTTATTTGTCAGAACAAGAGGATGGACTTGGTATTTAAAGTCTCATTGAATCCCCAGTAGTTGCTCTTTAGTGTGGGTTCCTGTCAGAGAAGTGAGTTAATTGGGGTGACACTGGTTAATAAAATTATATAGGTATTAGGTGTACAAGTTTATAGTACATCATCTGTATATTATATTGCCTGTTCACCACCCTGTATCTACCCCTGTTCATCAGTCCATACTGGTCCCCTTTATTTGTCCCAACCTCACTGGAGTAGTCTCAACCTCACCAGGGCCGTCTGAGCCTCACCAAGGCCGTTTCAACCTTTGAGGGTTTTTTTATGTTTTTTTCCTTAATCCCTTCACCTTTTTCACCTAGCCCCGAAAAACCCTTCCTGGAATAGATTCCTTATTTGTCAGAACAAGAGGATGGACTTGGTATTTAAAGTCTCATTGAATCCCCAGTAGTTGCTCTTCAGTGTGGGTTCCTGTCAGGGAAGGGGACCTCGGCAGGTCAGTTTTGAAAGTTCACGAGGCAGACTGTACGATTCTTTCAAGACTCTGATCATATGCCTGTTTCATGTGCCAGCTCTTGGAATGGGCAGACTTCTACTTTTTTTAAAAAAATATATATTTCTTTATAGATTTCAGAGAGGAAGGGAGAGGGGGAGAGAGAGAAACATCAATGATGAGAGAGAATCATTGATCGGCTGCCTCTTGCACGCCCTCTACTGGGGATCGAGCCCGCAACCCAGGCATGTGCCCTTGGCCGGAATCGAACCTGGGACCCTTCAGTCCGCAGGCTGACACTCTATCCATTGAGCCAAGCCGGCTAGGGCCAGACTTCTCCTACTTTCATCTGCTGCTCTCAAATTAGCCTGCCATGCTTTTCATGAAACATCTGTTGGCTCTTTGGGGGATCTGTCTAATGCAGCCTGTATTTCCCTTGCTTTCTTCTCTATAGACACGTTGACTCCTGTGCAGATTTTGTGGCTGTTTGTGGCTTGCCCTTACTCATTTTTTTAATTGATTTTAAGAGAGAGAGAGGGGGTGAGAGAGAAACATCGATTTGTTGTTCCACTTATTTATACATTCATTGGTTGCTTCTTGTAGGTGCCCTGACTGGGGATCGAACCTGCAACCTTAGCATATCTGGACGATGCTCTAATCAACTAAGCTATCCAGTGGCCAGGGCCTGCCCTTATTCATTGGTATTTTGTGGTTCTTTTTGGTAAATACTGCTCATGACCATCTAGTTTCTTTATCTAGTTACCTTAGATAGGATTTATACAAGCTCCCTCACTTAAATTCATAAGGAAATTAGCCTATAGAAAAACAAAGAGACGTATAAACACACACAGGTGGGGCTGGTGTGAGAACTCATTTTTTTATTTGACCTATCACTCAACTTATTTTTTCTTTTTGACCCTACAAGAGCATTCTCAAGCTTCTTATTCATATAAGTTTTCTATTGTCGTATAATATCTACCATAAACTTAGTGGCTTAAAGCAGCACCCATTTCTTATCTCTCAGGAGTCTGGGCACAGCTTAGGTGGGCCTTCTGTCCAGTTTTACTGGGTTATAGTCAAGGCACCAGCTGGGCTGTGCTCTCATCTGACGGCTTGACTGAGAAGAATCTGCTTCCGCCCTAGCTGGTTTGGCTCGGTGGCTAGAGAATCAGCCTGTGGACTGAAGGGTGCCGGGTTTGATTCCAGTCAAGGGCACATGCCAGGGTTGCAGGCTCGATCCCCAGTGTGGGGTGTGCAGGAGGTAGCCGATCAATGATTCTCTCTCATCATTGATGTTTCCAACTCTTTCTCCCTCTCTTCCTCTCTGAAATCAATAAAAATATATTTTAAAAAAAGAATCTGCTTCCCAGTTCATTCGGGTTGTTGACAGGATTTCTTTCCTCTTGGCCTCTGTATGACAGGGATCTGACTTTTCACTGGCTGTGGGCTGGCGGCGGCCTGCAGTTCCCTGCCATGTGGCCCTCTCCAGAGGCAGTTCCCAGCATGGCAGTTTGCATCTTGAAGGCCAGGAGGAGATTGTCATTCTGCTAAGACAGCATCTTATAAAACATAGTGTGATCGCAGGAGTGGTATTCCATCATCTTTGCCATCTTCTGTTGGTTAGAAACAAGTCACAGGTTCTGCTCACAGAAGTGGGGGGGTGGGAGGTTTATAAGAGAGAAACATCATGGGGCAGTGGTGGGGACCTGTTACATTATCTGTATCAATGATCTGGAAACCGATGAAACGTGCTCTTGAGCTACAGAAGACACTTTCTAGAGGACCGCTCAGATGTGTAGATGTTAGATACCAAAATAATGCACTGAAAAATGATCACTCTCTCCAATTTAGCTTTATGGACACAACTTTGTTAAAATTTGGTAAACTCTTCCCACACTTCTTTGCCCAAGATAGAAACAAAACAAAGAACAACAGACATTATTAAGGTCCTAACAGTGTAAATTATTTGCCTGTGAGATAGAGGTTCTGTTTGTGCCTGTTGTGACATATGCACACACATGTGTTTTTAATCTTTTCACAAAAACACACATTTTATATACCTACGTTTGAGCCTTGGACATTACTCTTATATATAGAAGAGTCCATTCCTTGTAAGTTCTAACTTTTGAACTTCTATTCTGAAGGGAGTTCCTCTGGAGGGACCACTGGAGGCATGTGGTAAGGTACAAAGACTGGGGTTCAGTATCAGAAAAGCTTGATTAAGACCTTAGTGTCCCCCACTTAGTAGCTTTCTGCTCTTAGGCAAGTCATTTGGTCTTTCTGAATCAAAAGAGTTTCGGTACTTGTATTAAAGATGACAAACCTTAGGTAAAAGAACTTATGGTTCAATTGTATGTATCAGCTGTGGCCTTGTACAAAGAGCTTGGGCTTTTGCGTTAGATATTTATGAGTTGAAATCTTGGTCCTAACTAACTATGTGACTTTTGGCAAGTTACTTCTGATCTCTGAGTCTTAGTTTTCTCTGTTGAAAATGGGATCATCTTTACATCTTTACATCCTTACAGTGTTGTAATGATCAGAGTTCTATATAAAAAATACCAAGTACAGTGCTTGGCACTGTAGTAGGTGCTCAATACTAGTAAATGAATGACAGTGGTATTTGATTATCTACCATATTCCCCAACTTTGTCTGTTAGGTGCCTGGAGAACTAGAATTTCTCTCCCCACAACCAGATCTTGGTAAAAATTACGTCCCCTTTGTCCTAGGTCAGACTTCTGTTGTCAGCGACATGAATCACTGTGTTAAAGATCCCTTGGTGTCTATCTGTAGGAACCATTCGTCAGTTTTCAGGACCATGGTTGAATCTACATCCCAGTTGGCTTATTCGAGTTTCTTTTCTTTCAATGTTCTCTCTCAGGGTTGTGAGAGCAGGGACAGAACAGTTTAGCCTTTTTTTTTTTTTGGTCTTCTAGATATCCCTATACACCCACAATTTCCCTAAACAATTCTTTTATTACATCTTTCCCTCAGACTAAATCACCTCCTGTATCACCTACACCCTTCCTTTGTCAGGGATAATTATGTTTTCTCAGAGGGTTCTGTGTTCAGTAATAGAAGTTGATAGTTACTGAGCACTGTATATGTGCTATTTGTACTTAAATTTCAAATGCATGAGTGAGGTTGATACAGTTATCTGCTGCTTATGGTTGAGGAAACAGGCTCAGAGAGCTTAAGTGACTTGCCCACTGCCACATACTTGTAAGATACTTATTGGAATTCTACCAAAGCCCATTGTCGATCTTAGTATATTGGACTTCTGCTGGGGAGATACTTGTGGGTTCTTGATATTTGTGCCAATGTGGACTTAATTAATTACAGTTATCTCTCTGTTTAAAATGTTTGCCCAGAGACTCCTTTATACAATAGTTAAGTAATTTAAGTGGTTGGCTCTGTATAATTTGGAATATGTCCCATAGAAGAGGGTTCCAGTGAGAAGGCCAGTGGAAGTGACGAATGCTCTCTTCTTTCTTTCTTCTTCAATCCCTTAGGACAGGGGTGGGGCACCTTTTCCCTGCCAAGGGCCATTTGGATATTTTTAAGATCATTCTCGGGCCATACAAAATTATCAGCTTAAAAATTAGCCTGCTATATCTGGTCAAACATTTAATTAACTCACCCTAATGCCTTGGCAGGGCCAGACCAAAGGATTTTGGGGGCCTTATATAGCCCGTGGGCTGGACGTTCCCTACCCCTGCCTTAGGAGAAGGCCTTTGAAAATTACCATGAGATCTTTTATTTGGGAATACTTTGGTCTTTGATTGTAAGATTGCCTTAAAAATATTTCATTTATTCAAAAACCTTTGAGAACCCAAAAATAACCCTGGACTTCATTTTCTTTCAGACTGATTTTTATGCCCTACAGATAGGCACTACGTATTTCTTCTCCAGTTTAAGAAGAATTTGTCACTATTTTTTAACAATTTTTTATTTTTATTTGCAAATAAAAATAATCTAATAGCATTGCCTTGTTCTTACAAAAAGGGACCTCTTTGCCCAGTTGGCATGGCTCAGTAGTTGAGTGTAGACTTATGAACCAGGAGATCATGGTTCGATTCCCAGTTAGGGCACATGCCTGGGTTGCGGGCTGATCCCCGATGTGGGGTGTGCAGGAGGCAGCCTATCAATGATTGTCTCATTGTTGATGTTTCTATCTCTTTCTCCCTCTCTGAAATCAATAAAAATATAATAAAAAAGAAGGAACATCTTTTTTACATTTTGTCATTTTAGTTTCTATTCTTTTATTATTATTATTATTTTGTTGTTGTTGTTGTTAATCCTCACCCAAGGATATTTTTTTCATTGATTTTTAGAGAGAGTGGAAGGGAGGGGAGAGACAAAGAGAAAGAGAAACATTGATGTGAGAAAGACACATAGATTGGTTGCCTCCTGCAACTGGGGCCGGGGATCGAGCCTGCAACCCAGGTACATGCCCTCGACCAGGAATCAAAACTGGGACCCTTTAGTCCACTGGCCAATGCTCTAACCACTGAGAAAAACCATCTAGGGCTGCTTCTAATTTTTAAAAAAGAAGTAAAACATGGCTTTTGAAAATATAAGTATTTATGTTTGATAGACAATAATTTAAAAATACAAAGAAGCCGAAGAACAAAAGAAAAATCACCCGTAGTCTCAGATTCACATATATAACCACTGTTGTATTGTTTACTATTTTAACAGACTTTAGTCCATCTAACCTGTAAGTCACAGACATCTTGGACAATTTTAATCATCAATAACAGTGGGGTATTTCGCAAAAGAGTTGGAAGACTTCACCATGAGTTTAAACACTTCAAGTAATGTTACTGTTGATATCCAAAGGTAAGCCTCCAGTCTTCTTCTTTAGTTGAAGATTGCTTTTGGTTGCAAGGCACAGGGAGAAGTCAGTTGGAGGGACTGATTGTAAGAATTCTCATGGTATGGTAAGGGAAGTAGGAATTTCATGGGACTGAAGGAGCAGGAAGGATGCCCCTGGAGACCTTGTGCTGCAATTTGTGCTCCTTTGTTAATCGGTCCACAAAAGTCAAAGTGTCTGCGATTTCTTTTGTCCCTATATATTTGCTTATTCTTTTTCACCTTTCTAAATCTTTTCTTTTCCTCATATTTATGCTTTTTCACATTTGTGTGTGGTGATTACTTGGGCTGACCATAATCTCTCTGGTTCTGAGCCTTCACTTTCCTCAGTGCCGTAACTCGAGTTCACGACTTATGTAGCAGGAGGTTGGCCAAATGGGGAGGGACTGCGGGAGGGCTCCAGGGCATGTCCAGCCTGTCTCGCTCACTCCAGATCAGCAGGACCCCAGCAGCAAGCTAACCTACAAGTCAGAGCATCTTCCCCCTGGTGGTCAGTGTACGTCATAGCAAGCGGTTGAGCAACCTTAGCATATCATTAACGTGTTACGCTTTGATTGGTTGAACGGATGACCAGACACTTAGCATATTAGGCTTTTATTATATAGGATACATATATGTGTGTATTTTAATGCAAATAATACATGCATTTTTAGAAAAATTAAAAAATGCAAATGAAAAACAATAGAACTACTTATAATCCTATTAGAGTTAACTACTACTAATATTTTGGCACATACTTTTCCATACCATACCTTATGAACATATAAATGTATTGAATAAATATATATTTGAAAAATTAGAGTAAATGTTTCACTTCACATTACTTAGTATCTGTCTTTCAATTTTTGGGGGAACATCTTACTATATATATCTGCCGTAATTTTTAATAGCTATGTTACTCTTCAGAATTCTAGAATCTGGGTAAATGAAGTTATTTATTTATTTTTATTTTTAAAATATATTTTATTGATTTTTTACAGAGAGGAAGGGAGAGAGATAGAGAGTTAGAAACATCGATCAGCTGCCTCCTGCACATCTCCCACTGGGGATGTGCCCGCAACCCAGGTACATGCCCTTGACCGGAATCGAACCTGGGACCTTTCAGTCCGCAGGCTGATGCTCTATCCACTGAGCCAAACCGGTTTTGGCAAATGAAGTTATTTAAACTCCACTATTTACCACTAATCTACTTCTGTTTCTATAGATTTGCCTTTTATGAACAATTCACGTAAATGGAATTATACAATACAAGGTCTTTTGTGTCTGGCTTCTTTCGCTGGGCATGTTCTTCAGGTTTATTATGTTGTAGCATTTATCAGTACTTGCTTTTTTTTTATATTTTTATTGATTTTTTACAGAGAGGAAGGGAGGAGGATAGAGAGTTAGAAACATCAATGAGAGAGAAACATCGATCAGCTGCCTCCTGCACACCCCCCACTGGGGATGTGCCCGCAACCAAGGTACATGCCCTGACGGGAATCGAACCTGGGACCCTTCAGTCCACAGGCCTACGCTTTATCCACTGAGCCAAACCGGTCAGGGCCAGTACTTGCTTTTTAATGCTCAATAGTATTCCATTGTATGCATATTCAATGTTTTGGTTACCCATTCACCAGTTAATGGACATTTGGGTTGCTTCCACTTTTTGATTATTATGTTGTGAACATTTGTGTACAAGTCTTTGTGTGGGTATATGATTTCATTTGTCTTGGGTAGATTCTTAGGAATAGCATTATTTTATCCTATAGTAAACTTACGTTAATTTTTAAAAGAAACTTTCAGATTATATTCTAAAGTGACTGGGAATCGAACTGTGACCTTCTGGTTCATAAGTCCAGGCTCAACCACTGAGCCACGCTGGTCAGGCAAAAAAAGCCCCAGTTTTAAAACGGGAAAAACACCTGAATAGGCTTTTCACCAATGAAGATAGACAAATGGCAAAAAAAGCACATGCAAAGATGCTCAACAACATTACTCATTAGGAAAATACAAATTAAATCACTATGATACATCGCTTCACACTCATGAGAATGAATAGAATAAAAAACTCAAAAAATAGGTGTCGGTGAGGATGTGGATAAACTAAAACCCTCATACAGTGCTGGTGGAAATATAAAATGATGATTGGAAGCTCACTGTGTGAGGCTTTGTGTTTGTGGCATTCTCTGTTTTGCTGGAAAACTTCTAGCATCAGCATTTTTAGGTCTTTTCACTATGCTGGTAGACTATCCAGGGAAGACCTTTCCAATTTCTTCTTGGTTGCCATTGTTCTGGCAGACAAGAAGTATTAGAAGACCAGGGCTCTCATCTATTATATACATTTTTACTTGAGTTTCTTGATGTTAGTATGGATCCCTTAGCTTAGCCCATTTGTATCTGATGTCTCCAATCCAGAGACCTTCTGTTTTATCCTGTCCAGGGAATAAACCCCTAATATCCTGCCAGAGTGGGGAAAAGATTGGTACTCAGTTGTGTGATGTATAAGGTAGAGGACTTGATCTCATTATTAATTTGGTAGACTTTGAACCAGTCCTGTTTCCTGCTCTATTTCACCTCCATTTTCAAAGGTGTTGCCAATGAATTGAGTTTGTTGGACTCTGGTGTAAATCAGGTTGCTTTCCCCACTGTTGACTTAGAATTTAACTCTCATACGTGAATCAGTTACCACTTGCTCGCCTGCCTTCCAGCTTTCAATATTTTATTGCTATTGGCTCATCTTCTGTGTTCTTTTTTCTTGTGAGTTTGTACCTCTAAGTTATCTTTACTGTTGTTATTATTTTTAAAAAATATTTTAAAATTGATTTTTAGAGAGAGAGCGAGGAACATTGATGTGAGAAACATTGATAGGCTGCCTGCATGCCCCTTCCCTAGGAGTGAGCCCATAACCTGGGCATGTGCCCTGACCAGGAATCGAACCGGCGGCCTTTTGGTGCAGGGGACAACACCCAACCAACCAGCCAGGGCCTTTTGCTGTTATTTTAATTAAAATTTTAATTTTAATTTTGGGGGGCTTTAGGATGCCCTTTTAATGCAGGAATCTGTATTCTCTTATTTATACTTTTCTTTTGGTAATATATATTACATGTATAGTAAGTAAAATATTTTAAAAAGGTAAAAAGGAAAGAACTTAGTCTCTTGCAAAACTGCCCAGCTTGTGATAGGATCAGACAGCCTCAAGTACCAATCTTGAACAATGTGGTGATTTTCTAATGGACAGTGGTTTGTTTCTAGTTGTATACTGTTTTGCATTTCTACCTAGCAATCAACATCTTTTACTAGATTGTAAGTTTTTTTGGGGGGGGCAGGACCATATCATGTTCTCTGAGGGTTTTTTTGGAAAAATAGTTATCAGAAATACCAGAAGTGCTGGAAATATACTTATGGAGAATTGTATTTTATTATGATCTCATTTTATAGGTTGAAGACTGTCTCACCTGATGTAAAACAAATGCCTAAAAGTGAAGCAGAATTGGATATTACTACTGATTTCAGAAAGAAACTCCATCGGGCTAAGAGAGAAAAATTAGAAATAACAACTAAGCACAATGCAGAGGTAGAATTTATTTTCTTCTCCAATAATGTTAAAAATAGATTAATTTAGATTCATTTTGCCTTGGCCCAGTGGCTCAGTTGGTTGGAGCCTCATCCCTTACACCAAAATGGTGGTGGGTTCGATTCCCGGTTTGGATGGGTACAGGAGGCAACTGATTGGTTTTTCTCACATTGATGTTTCTCTCTCTCTCTCAAGTTAATAAGTAAAATATCCTCAAGTGAGGAATTAAAAAATTAAGTTCATTTTATATTACAAACTCTATGTTTAACACTTATCATCATAACATTTTTGTGCTTAAAAGGGACTTATAAGGAAAATGGATTTTTTTAAAAAAATTATTTTATTAATTTTTTTTTTTTTACAGAGAGGAAGGGAGAGGGATAGAGAGTTAGAAACATCAATGAGAGAGAAACATTGATCAGCTGCCTCCTGCACACCCCCTACTGGGGATGTGCCTGCAACCAAGGTACATGCCCTTGACTGGAATCAAACCTGGGACCCTTCAGTCCGCAGGCCGATGCTCAGCCAAACCAGTTAGGGCATGGGTTTTTTTTTTTTTTTATATAGTGGAATTGCATAGGAGTGTTAAAGTAGAAATTTAATTAATTATTGTGTTTATTTGTATGTTGTCTTAAATTTATTTTAATTAATAGGTCATCTTGATTAAAATATTGATGAATGCATTGGTGACTAAAAGATTTGTAAATTAGACATTTTTGAAATCTTAATGTAGGTTTCTTTTGGTCTCAGTCATACAACAATCTCTTAAACAAGGAAATTTGAGTATGAAACTTTTAATCTCTGTAATTTATAAATTTTTAATTTTTTATATTACTCTACGTTTTATTTTATTAGTATGTGTGTATGTATATATGTATTGTATATGCATACTAGAGGCCCGGTGCACGGATTCGTGCACCAGTGGGGTTTCTCAGCCTGGCCTCCAGGGATCGGGCCGAAACTGGCTCTCTGACATCCCCCGAGGGGTCCCAGATTGCAAGAGGGTGCAGGCCAGAGAATGAGGGACCCCACCGGTGCATGATTGGGGCTGGGGAG